CTTGATCACAGGCAAGTTTCCAGAATACATTATGGGAAGGAATGGCTTGCATGACACCTAGAAGGGAACTCGTGATCACAAAGGGTTCAGAAAGCCCTTTACTTAAGAATAGCTCAAGACAGACTAAGCTCATTTCCTCTGCTGAGACGACCTTAGTAAGTGTAAGTCAATGGGTAAAGCAGAGGAACATCGCATAGTGTATCCAGATTCCAGCAAGGCATTGACAAAGTCATTCATGATATCCTTGTGAAAAAGTTGGGAAAATGTAGATAGTACCTTAGTACCTTTATCGAATGGGTGAGTGATCATCCGCAAGTGTGCTAACTGATGGGCCAATGTTTATTTACGTACTAGTTTGTTATCTGTCCTGCCCCCACCACTCAAATGTTAAAGCAAGCTCCTCGCAGCAGAGACTTTGTTTTCTGTTTTGTTCACTCTATCCCCAGTACCTATCGTAGTGCCCAGTATACGGTCTACCATGTACTTTCTCCAAGTGTTCAGGAAGTACTTGTTGCATGAATGAATAAACTTGGAAGTAGGACTGCGAGGCATGTCACCAAGCTTTGTCTCAGCCCTCTCCCTATTCAGGATGTTTGATCATTTATTTGGATAAAGGCATTAGATGGCATGTGGACAGAATAGGCAGATAAAGTAGGTCTGACAGGGGCGCCTGGGTGCCTCAGTTGGTGAAGCATCTGACTCTTGATTTCGGTTCAGGTCGTGATCTCATGGCTTCGTGGGTTCAATCCCCACATCGTGGTCTGTGCTGGCAGTGCACAGCCTGCTTGGAATTCTCTCTTGTGCTGTCTCTGAAAATAAGCTTAAAAAAATTTTATTCAAGATAAAAAGTAGGTCTGAGAGGCATAGTGACATAATACAGATAGACTCTACCCAAAAAGAATAACTGGCAAGAGCAACATAATAGGGATGAATGCAATTAGATGAAAAAACTGGAAGTACAACCGAGGTGCTAATTAATGACAGGAAGGTATGAAAATAAACCAAGTTCTCACTCATTCCTTCAACAACTATTTGCTGAAGGTGCCAGGACTGCGCTAGACAATGGGGATATACCGTGGTGAGGAAAACATACTGTCTGCCCTTACGGAACTTAAACACTATTGGGAGAGACTCATATTAATCAAACTAGTCCACGAACAAATATATATTGACAAATTATGATGAATAACAACTGAGTGCTAGGAGAGCATATGACAGAGGAACCTGACCCAGGCAGGGAAGTTTTCTCTGAGGAACTTGCCTTTGAGCTGACTTCTCAAAGCTAAGTACGAATAAACTAAGGTGAAGGCCGGGGAGAGTCAACAGTAAGTCCAGTGAGTCGACAATAAGAAATGCCTGTTTAAATGCGAATGGGGTCCTTTGCTCTTTACCTTGATGGTGACTCAGCTAACGGCTCAACTTGCTTCCTAGAGAGGCATGGGGGCTTGGCTGATGACTTGGTTAGTGTGTTTTCCAGGGCTTGCCAAAGGGGCAGCCCTCACAGGCCAGGATGGCTGGGAGAGTGTTCTCAAACAGGGGGATTGAGCCAGTAAGTGGCTATTTGGGAGTCACAGGAGCCGGGTTTCTCAATGTGGGAAGAGACAGTTGCAAATACGGAAGGGGAAGATGGCTAGGACAGAATCGTGTTGGATTGAAAATGGAGGTATTGGTCTGAACTCAGTTTTAACATACGTATTCACACATAGGTTTTTTTTTTTGTCGATGCAGTACCGTGAATGTATTTTCCCTATGATTTTCTTAATAAATTTTTCTTTTTTCTAGCTTAAGAATGCAGTGTATAATACACATACACATTATATGTTGGTCGACTGTTTCTGTTATTGGTAAGGCTTCCAGTCAACAGTAGGCTATTTGTAGTTAGGTTTTGAGGAGTCAAAAATTGTATGTGCATTTTTGACTGCGCAGAGATTGGCATCCCTATCTAGGGTCAACTGTATCCATATCCGTCTATAGATATGCATGTACATGTGTAGATGTACATACACATACACACATTTTATTTCCTAGCACTGGGGGGGCGCCTGGCTGGGAAAGTATGTGACCCTTTATCTTGAGGTTATGAGTTTGACCACATTGGCTGTGCAGATTACATAAAAAAAGATCTCTGGGGGTGCCTTGGTGGCCCAGTCGGTTGAGCAGTAGACTTGATTTTGGCTCAGGTCATGATCTCATGGTTGGTGAGTATGAGCCCTGCATTGGGCTCTGTGCTGACAGTGTGGAGCCTGCTTAGATTCTCTCTCTCTTCCTCTCTCTCTGCCCCTCCCTGCCTCTCTCTTTCTCTCAAAATAAGTAAGTAACCTTAAAAAAATATCTCTGGCTACTATTTCCTAGCTCTGTCCACTGAGAGGACCTAGAAACAATGGTGTCCCGGTAATGAGTGCCTCAGATCTTGGGCACTAGCTACCATTCAATTAAAAAGGAACCAGGGATTCTTGGAGAAATTACTGATTCCAGTGCTGGGGCAGGGAAACTATAACATGAGGCTGGAACATCTTACTGTGTCACAAAGAAAGGAAGTGTTCAAAAACTGATAGGGACATGTCAAAAGGACATAGGAGCCAGCTTTGAGCAAAATGATGATCTAGAAGTTCTGCACATGCGTGGCACCATTTCCCACGAACACCAATGGGAGGTCATGCCTGATCTCTACCTCTACAGAGATCCTGAAGAGATTGAGAAGGAAGAGCAGGCCGCTGCTGAAAAGGCTGTGACCAAGGTGGAACATGAGGGTGAATGGACTGCTCCAGCTCCTGAATCCACTGCTACTTAACCTGAAGTCACAGACTGCTCTGAAGGCACGCAGGTGCCCTCTGTGCCTATTCAGTGGTTCTCTGCTGAAGACTGGTCCGCAGCTCCCATGGCTCAGACCACTGAATGGGGAGGAACAACCACTGAGTGGCCTTAAGCTACTCTTCCACAAAGGCAAATGAAATGGAAATAGGTGGACAGAAAAGAAACAGTTTCTTAAAAAAAAAAAAAAAGACATAGTGGATTATAACTCACTGAGTAAACCAGAAATCCGTCAGTCTGTATTTAAACATTTTAGGGGCACCTGGATGGCTCTGTCAGTTAAGCGTCCCACTCTTTATCTCAGCTGAGGTCTTGATCTCAGGGTTGTGAGTTCCAGCCCGCACTGAGTGTGGAGCCTACTTACAAAAAATTGTTTTAAAAATATGAATAAATAAATGGGGGAGAAGAACATGTTCCACCTAACAGACGCCAACTAATAAATGAAGTGGGAATGACGGAAATTAAAAAAAATCAACATTTAGCAACCATCACAGTAAAAATGGATTCAGGCAAGAATCATCAATGGATGCTAAAACTAGTAAGTGGAAGCTTAATGAGGAATGGAAAATCTGGTCTCAAATTATCTTCCACAAAGCACTTCATAATTACTTTTTAATTACTAAGTACCTGGTCGATGCCATCTTAACTTTAACCAGTGATGGGACAAATTGACATTGTGTGCCTGTTGGTACAATGCACCAGGAAGAACACACCAATTTTGTTGCAGGCCTTCCCAAAATACGTAAATGGAATCTAATCATTCGGAAACATCAAACAGACCCTGGCTGCAGTACACGCGACAAAGTAATTAGCCTGTACTCTTTAAAAATGTCAAGGTCATGAAAAGCAAGGAAAGACTGAGAACCTATTTCCATTTGTAGGAGATGAAAGAGACATGACCACTAAATGCAACTTATGATTCTAAACTTAGGGAGGGCTTTATTAGGACAATTGGTGAAATTTGAATGAGGTCTGTAGATTAGATGTTAGAATTGCATCCTTGTTAATTTCCTAATTTTGATGGATTAACTGTGGTCCTGTATCAGAGTGTCCTTGTTTTTAGGAAATATGCACTGAGGTATTAAGGGGTAACAGAGCAAGATGTCTGCAAATTAATCTCAAATGGTTTAGAAAGAAACACACAAAGAGAGAATGATAAAAGCAATGTGGTAAAATGTCAACATATAGGGAGGCTGGGCGAAGGGTATATAGCAGTTCTGTGTGCTTCTCTGCACCTTTTCTGTAAGTATGAAACTGTTTCGAAATCAAAAGTCTAAAGATGTTCATCCAGATCAACTGGGGGAAAAAGCCAATGTGATCTTATAGTACACTAATTCAAGTCCTGCCAGAATGAGGCTGCTGAATTCTGTGTGGGTCAGACCTTACTGGAACGTGGGATGTGGCTCTTGGAAGGTACGAGCCCGTATCATATGAGGAACAGTGGAGGGGTCTGGGAATGTTCAAGCAGAAGAAGAAAAAGCCAGGAAGACAGGGAGGAGACTGACTTCTGTCTTCAGTTCTCCAAAGTGTATCTGGGGCAGAGAAAGCAGACTTGTTATAGGGAGACAAATTTCTGTCTCCCTATTAGAAAAAAAGGTGGATTGTGGGGCGCCTGGGTGGCGCAGTCGGTTAAGCGTCCGACTTCAGCCAGGTCACGATCTCGCGGCCCGTGAGTTCGAGCCCCGCGTCAGGCTCTGGGCTGATGGCTCAGAGCCTGGAGCCTGCTTCCAATTCTGTGTCTCCCTCTCTCTCTCTGCCCCTCCCCCGTTCATGCTCTGTCTCTCTCTGTCCCAAAAATAAATAAACGTTGAAAAAAAAAATTAAAAAAAAAAAAAAAAAAAAAAAAAAAAAGGTGGATTGAGCTATCGTGGGCGTTCCTGTCACACGATATGCTCCGATAGAGGCTGGATGACCCATTCTCAAGGGTGTCATAGAGCAAGTTTATGAATCTGATCAATTCTGGGCCCATTGACGACTAAGTTCTTCTACTGAATAGTCCGCGATTCTCTGTTACCTTCAGGTAGTGGGAATTCAAGCACTTCTGGAATAGAATGCAACTTGTGTTGGACTACAATGTTTTTGCTCACATGGGCCATGAATACTCTTACTTCATATGGCTATTTCAACATATAATAACATCCTTGGTACTTTGGAAAATTTGTCCACCAGAAATGAGCTGGCCACAGCAGTAACAGTCAAAATGCTTTAATTCAGAAAATTTCACGTAACAGCAAGAAAACAGGGTTTGAAAAAACAGAAACAAGAACTCAAGATAAAGTCTGGCAAGAATTTAGGTATTCAACATCTTCAAGTAGATGTCAGCTTGCCTGCTCAGATGCCTTATTCCAGCTCTTCTCACTCTTCGTTGAAAACTGAGCCCCTGCTTTTGCTTAATGCTTCCACCAGCTCGCCATACAGAGTATTCATCTAGGAAAGAGAACAGCAAATAGATTTCCTGAGAGACGCAAGGTGATAGCACGGAAGTCTAACCTTGACCTTCTGAGTTCTGAGGAACCCCTTTGCGGAAAAAATATAGTACTCTCTTAGGGAAGAAGCACCCCATAGCACTAGGTACATTTGCTAGGGACAGGCAGCTATTGTAAGGGAGGTGGTACTTAAAACATAAAATATCTTCTGCCCTTATTTGGTAGCAAGACTTTTTTTTCCCCCACCAAGCCTCTCCTGGTTACCTAATGGCCTAAAAGTCTGCAACTAGTTTCTAGAGAAAATACTTTCGTAAACAGTGATCTTTTGCATGGTGCTCAGTCCTTCCCTACTTGCACTGGCATTGACACTGATGCATCTTTCCAGAGCTCTGTCTTGGCATTCTTCTAATTTTTTTAATGTTTATTTTTGAGGAAGAGGTGGGGGGAATGAGAGAGAGAACACACATGCCCAAGTGGGGGAGGGGCAGAGAGAGAAGGGGACAGAGGATCCGAAGTGGGCTCCATGCTGTCAGCACAGAGCTTGATGTGGGGCTTAAACACACGAACCCGTGAGATCATGACTTGAGCCAAAGTCAGACACTCAACCCACTGAGCCACCTAGGCGCCCTTGTCTCGCCATTCTTCTTATTTAGATTCCATTTGCTATCCTTAAGTTCTCCTCTGTTCATCACCCTTCCTGGTTTCCACTCTAAAACATTACTGTTTACAGTCCCCTAACTCTTGCTGTTCTATGGAACCACTGTGAGGAACAATGATCAAGATTCTTTCCCAGCCAAGGAAGGTAGGACTGAGTCTTTACTGAGTGCCCAGATAGCCTCTCTGCTCCCCGAGTCATATCATCCACCCCTACTCTCTCTCTCCTCACCTGAGTTTCATAGTTTCTCTTGAGGGAGCCAAGGTGGTCAAGAAAACGCAGTGAAAGGTCACACCACTTTTCTGCAGATACATACTTCTTTCCGCCGTACATATATATCCCAATATTCCAGGACTTGACCATCAGCCAGAGAGTCTCTGATTCTGGGTAGTCTTCCTGAAATCCAAGAACAGTGGGTTTACAGTTATCACTGTCACAGTCATTGTAGTACTGACTGTATCAGTGTTACTGTATCAGTGTTATTATTAAGCAAACAATGGGTGCTCTGCTAACGTGAAGAAGGAGCCACAGCTTCCATGAACAATCCTGTATTCCTTGAAGGTAGGAGGAGAGCATCTTAAAAGTTTGTCAGCTGTACATAAGGCAAGACGACTTCATGAAGGGACACATAAATTGAAAAAGCTCTGAGGCCTGGTTGGACTCATTCCTGGTCTCCTCTAAGCAGGAGAAAAGCCTCTATCCTGTCTGGGGCTTCCCTTGGTGCTGTCCTCTGTCGATTATCTCACCAACACCTACCCCTAATTTTCAGAGAAGTGTGTCAAGAAGCAGTTTTTAAAATTTTTAAAAAATGTTTCCTTATTTTTGAGAGAGAGACAGAGCATGAGTGGGGGAGGGGCAGAGAGGGAGGGAGACACAGAATCTGAAGCAGGCTCCAGGCTCTGAACCGTCAGCACAGACTCCAATACAGGGCTTGAACCCACAGACCATGAGATAATGACCTGAGCTGACACTCAACCAACAGAGCCTTCCAGGCACCCCTAGAATTTTGGTCTTTAAAAGCAATGGGAAACCACAGAAGATTAAGCAAGGTCACATATTTGAAAATTTAAAAGATCATTCTGGTTGCTGGATGGAGAAAGGTATAAATGAAAGCAAGAGATGCAAGGAAACCAGCTAAAAGTTTCCTACAGTAGCTGAGGTAAAAGATGATAACTTGTGGGGCTCCTGGGTGGCTCAGGCGGTTGAATGTCCGACTTCATCTCAGGTCATGATCTCACGGCTCATGAGTTCGAGCCCCGCGTTGGACTCTGTGCTGACAGCTCGCAGCCTGGAACCTGTTTCGGATTCTATGTCTCCCTCTCTCTGACCTTCCCCCGTTCATGCTCTGTCTCTATCTCAAAAATAAATAAACGTTAAAAAAAACCTCAACAGGGGCGCCTGGGTGGCGCAGTCGGTTAAGCGTCCGACTTCAGCCAGGTCACGATCTCGCGGTCCGCGAGTTCGAGCCCCGCGTCGGGCTCTGGGCTGATGGCTCAGAGCCTGGAGCCTGTTTCCGATTCTGTGTCTCCCTCTCTCTCTGCCCCTTCCCCGTTCATGCTCTGTCTCTCTCTGTCCCAAAAATAAATAAACGTTGAAAAAAAATTAAAAAAAAAAAAAACAAACCTCAACATAAATTTGTATTAGTTCTGTGCTTTTCTCTAGTGATTCTGCTTCTTAGTATCAGGAGAACTGATAGTGTTGGGTCATTAGGCTAGAAAAAAGTTAAACGGGAGGTATAACCAAATGAAAGAAAGAAAGAAAGAAAGAAAGAAAAAAGGAAAGGGAAAAAAAGGAATGTGGCTAGACTGGACTATAAGAGAATGGGAAGGGTTGAGTTATTTGAAGTATAAGTGACAGCAAAGAACAAGTATGGAGAAGTAAGAGAGATTATAGTAACTCGAAAAACTTTGAGTTTTTCTTCTCGGAAGTGGACCTTATATGGGGTACAGACAGAGGCTAAAGAAGGGCAAAAAACTGTGAAGTGGATGAATTGATAACAGGGATGCCAAAGTCCCTTAGGATAATAAACTGAAGTGACCAAGGAAGGAAAAACTGGCTCAGAACGTGCTAGTTCATGACAACACTGATAACTAAGAGATAGAAGACACAGATTACAAGGGAAGAGAAGCAGCAAGAAGATGGTGTGTAACAAGTACAAAGGAAGCAAGGATTCAGGTAATTTAGTTCCTTCTTCTGCTGAGAAAAAGGGAATGGGAGAAGATGAGACCTCCACAAAAACAATTAGTGACAGACATGTCTTGAGGAAAGATCTTGCTTTGTTCTAAGAGGAAGAGGGAGAAGAGGTAAAGATTGATAATAAGGAGAATATTGCCTACATTTGTGTGGGGGAAAACACTGTCTTTTTTGGGGGGGTGGTGGTGGATGAAATTAGAGGTAGCCTTTAGAGTGAGGGTAAGGATTTAGAAAATGCAGAGCTTTTAGAAATCTAGAGGGAAAAAGAGATTTGGGGGAAAAGCACTGATATAGTAAAGTTTGTGTTTTAGGGAGATATATTTAATAGAGATGAACAGGTAAAACTGGAGAAGAGAAGAAAGAGTTACAGACCACTTAGGAAACAAACTACAGAAATCCAGAAGAGACACAATATCAAAGCCTGAATCAAAGATATATTTGCCTGGACCTCAATTCCAGTTTCAAGGAGATGTGAAGCTTGGAAGAAGAAAGATTTAGATGAAGAAAAACCCAAGGACCATTGTGCGATGAAGAAAGTGCACTGGGTTCAATTCTCAGCTTTGCTGTTACATAGTTGTATGAGCTTGTGTTAGATATTTAATCTTTCAATGCCTCAGTTTACAAATTAATGGAATAAATAACCTTTTTCAAAGATCATTAATTTCACTTCTAAATTCTATCAGACAATGAAACTTTACCTTTCATTTCCTTTAGATCCCAAGTCTTGTTTATAAACTATTTTATGATTGGCAGAAGTAGTAATTCTTTCAGTTGAACTAAAATATCAAATGTGAGATGTTAAGATGATACTGACAAATGAGTAAGCAGTGTTTCTCAATCTTTAAAGTGCATACAAGTCACATAGGGATACTGTTAAAATGTAGATTCTGATTCATTTGGTCTGGGATGGGGCATGAGATTCTACACTACTCATAAGCTCCCAGGGGATGCTGATGCTGCTGGTCCATGGACTATACTCTGAGGAGCAAACTCCTAGAGAATGTAGCTCAGTAGTTTGGACCACCTTAGCTTCCCTTGTAAAAGAATAGAGGCTGATTTCTTCTGGGCTTCTTCCTGGTTATGCAACATGCCTTTGTGACTCTTTGTGACTCTGATGTCAGCTACGAGGGTTTGGTTTGTCCCTTCTATTTAAGTGTAGGGATTCCCCACCCCCCATTATCTATGTTTCTGTATGGTGAGAAAAATGAACCAGGGAACTTCCACTTCTATGAGATGGAGTAGATGTACTCATCCCTATTCCTTCTACTAAGTACAACTAAAACCCTAGACATAAAATAAACATAAGACTCAAAAAAGACACTATTCATAAACATAAGGAGACTGAAAGGTAGAGAGAAGAAAGATTGGCTAGAGACCTTGGGGCCAAGGAATGATACAGTGGTGAGTTCCCTGGGTTTTTATTTGCTTCATATAGCTCAGAGTTGGTGCTACAGATGCCAACAGGCATAGACAAACCAAAGCCCCAAGAAAAGACTGTTCTCTATAGACAAAGGACCAGAAAAAGGGCAGCAATGCAAGACAGAAAGCCTTTAGACATTAACGGCTCTAATACAGCTGAACATCACAGAAAAGCCTGTGATCCCAGCCCCACCCACTCCAGAAAAACCTAACTGGGGAGCCTAAATTTTTCCCCTTGTGAGGGCATAAGGAGGCACCCTGCATAGTATCAGAAGGCCAGATAGGGAGACAAAACTTTCATATCCAATGGCTGGTAATAAGGCATTCACCTACCCCCTGAAATATCAGTGGAACCTACATTTCCACCACCAGAGAAGGTGGAACAAAGGAGGAACAAAGTCTGTAAACACTCATAAAGAGGCAGGACTTTCACCATCACACAGCAGATAATGAGGCCACCTCTATCATGGTGTTAATGGAGACCATGTGGGATACTATCTCCACCCAGCAGTAACAAGGAATCCTCCACCCTAAGTATCAATGGAGGCCAAGTGGGGAACCTGAGCATCTACTTCCACCTAGAAGTAATAAGGTCATACTCTCTTCCCTGGCATAGCAGTGTCAGAAAAATCCAGCTGAAACAGAGGTTTAAATGAGATCCAGAATTTCAGAAACATAATATGAAAATGTCCAGGTTTCAATAAAAAAAACCACTCATTAGACCAAGAGCCAGGAAGAACTCAAAACTGAATTAAATCAATTGATGCTAGCACCAAGGTTAGAGAAATGTCAATATCTGACAAAGATTTTCAAGTAACCATTATAGCACAGTGAAGGAAACAAAACAAAACTAAAAGGCAACCTATAGAATGGGAGAAGATATTCGCAAATGACATATCCAATAAAGGGTTAGTACCCAAAATATACAAAGAACTTGTAAAACTCAACACCCTCAAAACAAATAAGCCAATACAAAAATGGACAGAAGACATGAAGAGACATTTTCCCAAAGACACACAGATGGCCAACAGACACATGAAAAATGCTCAACATCACTCATCATCAGGGAAATACATATCAAAACTACAATGAGATGCCACTTCACACCTGTAAGATTGGCTAAAATCAACAACACAAGAAATAATAGGTGTTGGTAAGTCTATGGAGAATGGGGAGGAACCCTCATGCTCTGTTTATGGAAATGCAAACTGGTACAGACAGTCTGGAAAACAGTATGGAGGTTCCTCAAAAAGTTAAAAATAGAACTATCCTATGATCCAGCAATTACAGTACTAGGTATTTACCCAAAGAACACAAAAATACTAACTCGAAGGGATACGTGCACCCTGATGTTTATAGCAGCATTATATACAATGGCCAAATTATAGAAAGAGCCCAAATGTCCAATGACTGATGAATGGATAAAGAAGAGGGGGTGTGTGCATATATATACACACACACACACACACACACACACACACACACACATACATATACATACAATGGAATATTACTCAGCCATCAAAAAGAATTAAATCTTGGGGCATCTGGGTGGCTCAGCTGGCTAAGCATCTGACTTCGGCTCAAGTCATGATCTCATGGCTTGTGGGTTCAAGCCCTGAATCAGGTTCTCTGCTGTCAGCACAGAGCCCACTTGGGTTCCTGTCTCCCCCTCTCTCTGTCCCTCCCTAGCTCGTGCTGTCTCAAAAATAAATAAAAACATCAAAAAAATTAAATCTTGCCATTTGCAACGATGTGGATAAAGCTAGAGAGTATTATGCTAA